GGCCAAAATGGCCAAGCTGCTTGGCTACCCGCTGGAGCGGCCAGGCGACGGCGGGCGCGCGAAGCTGGGGAGGAGGTGGAAGGGCATTCGAATACGACGCAGAGGGCGAGGAAAAGGAAAAGAGCTGAGGGGGGGAACGAGGAGTGGAGTGAAGGGAGGAGGCAGGAACAGGAAACAAATCAAGTCTGAAGGAGGAGGAGGCCGAGGCAGAGGAGAAGACAGTGGAGGGGGTGAGCAGGAAGAGAAGCAAGGCGGAGAAGGAGGAAAGGGAGGATGGCAAGAGGATGCGAAGGTCAAGATGAGAACGAGACAGACGACCACTTGCGAGCCAATGTCCTTTGTCTGTGACGGATGGACGGATCAGTAGATCGTGTATTCCACTGCGGCCTAAGTGAGGAGGGCGACAACCCGTTCCTCACTTGTGCCGCGAGAGCGGAGGCTACGAGCTAGAGGGGTGAAGAGGAAAAGGAGAAGCGACGGGCAGGGCGGGCCGCCTCCTCAGTCCTCCATCCTACTCCTGTCTCCTCACTCCTGATTCCTCCACCTCCTTCATCCCCTCACCCCATCCATATTTAACTCCTCTCGCTCCTTCCATCCTCACCCCTCGCGCTGAGGCTCAAGCTCACGAGGGCCGCGACTTCTTCAGCGCCCAACCATCGAACTCGGAGAGCGCCATCTGCCGCTTGCCAGGCGGCGGCGGAGGCGCTGCGCCGCCGCTGTTGAAAACGTTCACCGTCACCCCAGCCGCCGCCGCCGGGACCGTCACGCTGACAAGGAGGTGCGGGCCCTGCACCTTGCCACTCCAGCTCCAAGCATCGTGGCGCCGGTAGAAGCTGACAGCCATGTCGGGCGGCAACTGGTTCTCGCGCAGACTCTCGCCGCCGAGGCCACTAGCGGTGCCCCACACCGTCCTTACCTTTACCTCGTCGAGCGGCGCCTCGGACACGTCGGAGGCTCCGTCCTTGATGTCTGGTGGCTGCTCGGCTGCTGAGGCAGAGCTGGCGGCTGCTCGGCTGGTGGCTGCTGGCTGGTGGCGCCCTGCTGGTGGCTGCTCGGCTGGTGAGCTGGTGGCTGCTCGGCTGGTAAACTGGTGGCTGCTGAGCTGGTGGCTGCTCGGCTGCTCTGCTCGTGGCTGCTGAGCTGGTGGCTGCTCGGCTGCTGGGCTGGCGCCCGCACTGACCCTTTTGGGAAGCTGCCACTCCGCCCACTCGTACATCCCCATGATTCGCATCAACGGGCAGAGGGCCCTGCCCACGGACGACACCGCCATGCTGTTGCCAACAGCAGCGTGCACGGCGCCAGGCGGCAGGGTCGAGAGGAGGCTGTCGGGCCTGAAGCCCATGGCGGAGGCCTTCTCTCCCGCCGTGAGGTACCTCCCAGCCCCTGCTACTCTGCCTGGAGCGCTGCCTACCACCCATAAGTACTCGTTCCGTGTTGTTAGACACGGAAGAGCGCCAGGCACCAAGATCGGGCCGTAGGTCTTCTTGGGATCGCGGGTGAGGTCCGCTACTGCAAGCTCGCACCCCGTCTTGTTCTTCAGTTCTGTGAAGAGCTCGTTGTAGGCCTGCGCAGGCCAAGTGTCCATTTCAACAATCAGAAAACTTCCTCCATGATCCCCCATCTCCGCCTCCCTCCTCTTCCTCGTCCCCCTCCTTCCTTATTTATGTATCCGCTCCACTTCCCGCCTCCGACCGCCTCCTCCTATGTCATCTTCCATCCGCTTTGCATCCAAGCTCCACTCCCCCCCCCTCCACATCCTAACCACCTACTGGCGCGCCTCGACGTTGGCGAGAAGGCCCGGCGCGGTTGGCAGCGGACCCGCCGCCAAGTCGCCCTTCACCTCCAGGATGTCAACCAAGCTGACTGGATCCTCAGGGCGCAACGGCCTCAGCCACGAGCCCTCGCGCTGCAGAACGGACGATGCCTCTGGAGCGCAGGAGGCCCTCTCCAAGATACTCTTGCGGATGCCAACGATGAAGACCCGGCTCCTGTGGCACAGCACGCAGTCCCCGATGGCGTCCACTTGGTGCCAGTTGACCTCGAAGTCCTCGCTCGGAAAGCAAGCGCAGGGAACGAGAGCAGGGGGGGATGACGAGGAAGGGGGTGACCCCTCGGCGTTTTGGCGGGCCTTTGCACCACCCCCAAGGGGGGCAGGCAATGGCCGAGGAAAGGATGGAAACCCTGCAGGGCGCCACAGGCCTCAAAACGGAGGTGGAGAAAAACCTCACAACACTGGGCACATAATGTCCGACTCCCTTTCGGTCCGGCAACTTCTCAGAGAGCCAGGGTAAAAGCTCGGAGGTCAAGAATGAGGCCTTGCCGTGCTGGCGCCTCGCGATGCCCTGGACGTTCTCCAGGAGGAACCAGCGCAGGCGGTTGCCCGCCAGCCACTCCAAGAGCTCTTTCATCTTGCAATACACCTACGGCTTAAAGCAAACAAAAAAGGAGGAGAGAAGAGAAAGGAGCGGAGGAAGGAAGACTTGCAGGGAAGGAAGAGGGGGGGAGGAGGAGAAGGAGGAGGGTGAGGAAGAGGGAGGGGGAGGAGAAGGAGGAGGGGGGAGAAGGAGGAGGAGGAGGAGGAGGAGGAGGAGGAGGAGGAGGAGGAAGGGCGCCCCCCATCATCAGCTACAAGGCCCAGGCAATGACAACAAGGCCCCGCCACCTCAGCCCCTCGACTCGAGACGTCCAAGTCGGTCGCCGTTGTCGCCATCCATCTGTCGCGCCCTCGTCCCTCGTCCCCTTGTCAACCCTCTCCCCCCTCCTCTCGTCATCCGTTCGATCCACCACGACATCCTCGCACTCTGTCTCCTCTAGCTTGCTACTCCAAACGAGGCCCAATGACCCCCGCCGAGCCCGCGCGGGGCCCTCCAAGACCCAGCGGTATCAAAGCCCCCCCACAGACGACCTGACAATCCTCAAGGCCCCCCTCCCCCGGCAACAGAGCACCTGGGCTCTCTCGTCCTCCATGCCAGCCTTCTTGCCCAAGAAGCTCCAGGGCGGGCATGGGAACCCGCAGACGAAACCCTCGCTGGGGACGAAACCCGCGGGCCGCCCTGCCGGCCCCTCCACCAGGCCGTTCCTGATCCTCAAGTTCAGGATGTCGCCAGCGACCTGGCGGCGCGGAGGGAGGAGCCCCGCCCCAGCGGCCAGAGGGAGGATCAGGGGGAGAGGGGGATGAGAAGGAGGTCGAGGAGAAGGTGGCGGAGGAAGTGCAGGAGGAGAGGGTGGGCGATGATGAGGAGGAGGAGGAGGATAGAGTAAGGGGCGAGCGAGGGACGGAGGGATCTCCACTCCACCCCCTTCCCTCCCTTCCAACCTCCCTCCTAGGAACGTCATCGATCCATTATCCTCCTCCTCCTTGCCCGCCGTCCTCTGACCCGAGTGAGGCCTCATGAGGTGTCTCCAGGATCCTCATCCATGGCGTCTGCAGGATCCTCACCCATGCGGTCTTCAGGAGACAATTCGTGACTAGCGGTGTCGAGCTCACTGGGCTCATCGTCGAGGTCGGTCCAGCTGGGCGGGCTGGGCGGTCCAGGTGGCGGTAGCACGAACCGCGGCACGACGTAAAGTGGGACGCAGTCCCAGTTAAACACGGATTCCACGAGTTCTACCCAGCGCCCCTGAGATAAGTCGAAGCCCGCCATAATGATATCTCGAGCCGAGATCTCACATGCCTCGTTGATTGCGGAGCCCCACGCCCCCTGAGAGGACCGAGGAGGAGTGGAACGAGAGCCGAGCTCAGGGTTATCACCGAGGAGGATGGAGGAGAGGATCAAGGATACAGCACCACAAACCGTAAGCTAATGCCACGCTCCAGGGTGATGACCGAATCGAATGTTGCCGGCGTGGCATGCCCCAAGGCGGACCTGGGGCCTCAAAAAAACTCTGCCTGGGAACAATCGACCTACTGCTCGACAGGCCCATCCCAAGGGGCCATCTCTCCGTCGACCTCCATTCCCAAGTTGCCGTCAACGCGGCGAGCCGAGAGGGGGGCAATGGGAAGCAAGGTTTCTGACAGAAGCGCGAGCGCAAATCCCTTCGACTGCTCGTCCGCATCATCGATAGTTCTACCAGCGATGCTCAGCAGCGCGCCTCCATCGAGGCGGAGCAATTGAATCTTAGCCCTTGCCATCGAGTAGGTATGTTTCTGCCCTATGTGCCTCTGGTCCCCCTGCGCTCGCCTTTCAGGAAATCGAAACTCGGCGGTGGACCCACCCACGATGGCATAACGGCTGTCGCCCATTGACGAAGGCTGGCTCTTGAGCTGTCGAGCGCCAGCACAAAGAGCACGAACTGTATTAGGAGCTGGATACCCACTACCAGCTACAAGCGGCAACAATCGAAAACTGAAACCAGCGTCGAACAAAGGCCAGACGAGAGATAAGCAGAGCGTCAGGGCCACAAAGTGGAGGATAGAAGATGAGGCGGATCGAGCACGGTGAGAAGGGGAGACAGAAGGAGATGGAGAGGTCATTGCACGAGGAGGCAGCAGGATAGAAAGGGAGGCGCGCCAGCAGCAGCAGAAGGAGCATCTTGACAAGGAAAGGCTGGATGATGCGGAAAGGTCAGGCAAGCAGAGACGAGGGAAGAGGAGGGAAGGGCGAAGGAGGGAGAGAGGCTGGCCAGACGCGTAGGAGTAGAAGGGCAGGAGGAAGCGGGGGTGGAGGCGGAGGAACAGGAGGCGGAGAGAGGGACGGGAGTCATGATATCCTCATCGCCCCCCTCTGTACCCCTGCCCTCCTCATTGCATTCCCTTGCTCCCTCTGCCTTCCCTTCGTCGTCGTCCTCCTCCCCCATGGTATATCCTCCCTCTCTTCTTCTTCCTCCCCATCCTCCCCATCCCCTCTCTTTCTCTCTATCTCTCGCCACTCACCCTCCATCATACTGCGTCTCCCTCCTGATATCCACTCCTCGGCTGGATGGGGAGGGGGAGAGGAGACTGCTGAGCTGCGCGGGCCGCGGGCCCGTCGAGCGAGCGGGCGGCCTGGTGCGCGCCTCAATCACCGATCGCCGAGCTCCGCGAGCTTGTCCCACCAAGTCTCGTACGGCGAGCCCTTCACGGCGCTGTGCGCCTCCATGACGCTCGCCACGCTCATGCGACAGGTGGACAATTCGCCCTGCCACCCCGCGCAGAACCCCCACCGCATGCCCTGGCACGGGACAGGCCGAAAAGTGAGGTACACGAAGCCGGCGGGCAAGACGGCCAACGAACCTTCGCGGATGACCATGGCGAAGTTGCCCTGCTCGCGCGCCAACTGAAGGAGCCCTGCACCAGGAAGGCTCTTCAAGAAGCCAACGGTCTCGGCCAGGGAGTGCTCCTGCTTCGCCTTGACGCCCACCACCACTTCTTCTCCGCCAGTGACGACCCTGACCTCGCTGAGGCCATACGAGGAGGGGCCCGCAGAACAGTGCCCGGCTGGGATCGTATAGATTTGAACTCCGAAGATGTGCTTGTGGAGAGCCTGGTCCTTCGGCGTCACCGGCACGAAGGCGCTTCGGAAGATAGTCTGGCCATTCGCCTCGTCTTTCACCAACCCCCTCAGCATCATGAGGATTCCAGGCTGAGACACTGCCCCAAAGGCGGGCGCCGCGCCATCGCTCTCCCAGGACATCACCTTTTCCTTGCACCATTTGGCCAGCGGCTTCCAGTCAGCTGAGGAAAGCAGGGGACCCAGTGAGGCCTTGACGTCGATGAGGCAAGCGTTCTGGAAGTCGAGGTTGCACAACGAGTTCATCACTCCTACAGGTGCGTCGTGGATCGTAGCTTTTACCATCGTCAGCGCTGGGCGGTAGTCCTGCGTCTCGCCAATGTCCAGAATCTCTGCCCTCTCTCCAGCCTTGCGTTTCTTGGAAGAGGCACCGCCGCTGGCGGCCTTCGCGAGAAGAGACCGACAATTCTGCAACATCTTCGCTGTCAAGACCTGGTGGCAACAATCTTTTTTCTGTTCGGCAGCGATCTTCTTGAAGGCCTCTTTCACACCAGCGACAGACAAGTCCCAAGCCGGCGAATCGATGTGAGCACAAAGCTTCGAGATTCTGGCTTTGACATTATTGATCTCATCCTGCGCGGCTGTGGAGAGGGCCTCAAGCTTGTCTTTGAAAGGTTTCCATGGCTCTCCATCTAAATCCGTCGCTGAAATCTTAGATTTCATGTATTCGAGCACGTTGATTCCTTCCGATACCTGGTTCTCCAAGGCGCTCACCAAGGAACTCTGAAGACGATCCGCCAGCTGCAAGGTACCGAGGCGGACTGTGACTGGATTCACCTTGGCCGCCGCAGCATCCTTGGCCAAATTTTTTGCCTCGATGTCCTCGAGCGCCTCCATGTGGGCCAAGACCTTCTCCTTCTCCGCCCTCGTAGTCTGATCCTCGATGAAGCTGCCGAGCGCGCCGTGAAGCTGAGGGGCACAGTCCAGCGTGCCTCTGTACACGCTCTCCAGGAAATCCTCAGGAACAGCAACGTGATCGCGATCCTCCCCTTGGCCGTGCGACGCCCTCTGGCTCTCCTGGACCGCCGTCAACGCAGCGCCAACGTTCGACGCCATGCTCTGCAAGGCCGTGTCCAGCTCCGTACCAGTGAGGCTCGACGAGCTGCTCTTCGTCAATGACGCCGTCGTCCCCTTCGTCAGCACAGCGTCGTCGATCTCGCCCTGGTACTCCGCGATGAGGTACCCTCCTGGGCGCCGCGGGTCGGGCTTCACCGTGTACTCACGGCTCATGCACCGCCGACGGAACTCCAGCTGCTGGTCTTTCGGGTTGGTAAACCCCTCCAGCGCCAAGTCCCGCCTCACCAGGGTCCACGGCTCCCAGTGGGTGCGCTCCCGATGTTGATCCTCGACCTTGGTCTCCGTCGTCGTCACAAGCGTGAGCATCTCGTGCGCTTCCTCGGGAGGCATGGCAAAGCTGGAGGTGGAGGGGCAGGAACGGGAGGAGGGGGGAGGCGGGAGAAGGGGGAGGGGAGGAGGGAACGAGGGGAAGGGAGGACGGGGGGAGAGGAGGGGGGAGAGGAGAGGGAGGGAGAAGGGCGAGAGCAAGAGGAGAGGAGACAAGGCAAGAGAGAGGAGGACGCGGGGGAGTGAAAGGTGGGAAAGGGGGTGCCAGGTGAACGAGCTACGGTGAGGGTGAAAGGGGGTGCGGGGGTGCGGGGGCGCCAGGTGAACTACGACGTGAACGAGCTCAAGGTGGGAAAGGGGTGCCAGGCGCCCAGGAGTCGGGGGCAGCATAGTGGTGGTCGCTTTCCTCCTCCTCCTCCTTGTCCTGCCTCCTCCCTCGCCGGCCTCCTGCAGATTCTACTCCTCCTCCTCCTCCTCCTCCTCCTCCCCCTCATCCTCTTCCTCCTGCTTGCGCCTTTCCCTCCTCCTCCTCCCCCTCACCCCTCGCGCTTCGCATCCATCCTCATCCTCATCGTCCTCGCTAGCTTTTCCTTGTCATCCCCATCCCCCCTCTTCCCTCAGCCTCCCCTCACAACCTCATCATCCCATCTCCTCTTCCTCGCCCTCCTACTCCCTTTACAACGCCATCCGTTGTCCGGCACGGCTGTCTCCCGATGGTCGATGTACCACTGCTGCTGCTCCTTCGCGCTCTTCTCGGTCCACCAGGGCTTCAGCTGCTTGTTCCGCTTGAACCTGCGCAGCAACGTGCGGCTGTTCCCATAGCATTTCTCGCACAGATCGCGAGCGCATTTGCGAGAGTCGGCGTCCCGCACGCGCTCGTCCTCTGCGAGCTCCAGGCCGCACTTCTGGCACGTGAAGGCGCCGCTGCAGCTGCCTCCTGCGCCCTCGCCAACGGGCTCCACGCCATCGAAGTGGATGAACACAGGCGTCGCAGTCCCTCCAACTGGCGTCTTCGGTCCAGATGGAGGCTGAACTGGTGGCCCTTGATGCTGCTGAACTGGTGGCTGCTGAACTGGTGGCTGCTGATCTGGTGGCTGCTGATCTGGAAGCTGCTGAGGCTGAGGACCTGGTGGCTGCTGAACTGGTGGCTGCTGTGGCTGCTGAGCTGGCGGCTGCTGATCTGGTTGCTCGGCCGGTGGCTGCTGATCTGCGGGCTGATGACCTGGTTGCTGCTGATGATCTGGCGGCTGCTGAGCACGTGGCTGCTGATCTGGTGGCTGCCCGCCTGGTGGCTGCTGACCTGGTTGCTGCTGAACTGGTGGCTGCTGATCTGGCGTTTTCTGATTTGGTGGCTGCTGAACTGGTGGCTGCTGAGCTGGTGGCGGCTTCTGAGCTGGCGGCTGCTCGGCTGGCGGCTGCTCGGCTGGTGGCTGCTGTGGCTGCTGAACTGGTGGCTGCTCGGCCGGTGGCTGCTGATCTGCGAGCTGCTGACCTGGTTGCTGCTGAACTGGTGGCTGCTGATCTGGCGGCTGCTGACCTGATGGCTGCCCGCCTGGTGGCTGCTGACCAGGTGGCTGCTGAACTGGTGGCTGCTTGGCGGAGCTGGCGGCTGCTGAGCCGGTGGCTGCCGAGCACGGGGCTGCTGGCGACGCAGCGGCGGCCTAGTGGAAGCGCCCATCCTCCCTCTCCCCCCCGCGGAGGAGGAGTGGAGGAGGAGGCGGAGGAGAGGAGGAGGGAGGGAGGAGGGAGGGGGGAGGAGGAGGAGGAGAAGGAGGAGGAGGTGGAGGAGGAGGAAGAAGAGGAGGATGAGGAGGGGGCGGGGGCAGAAGGATCAGGAGGTGGAGGAGGAACAAGAGCAGGAGGAGGAGGAGGGGAACAATGCGAGCGCGAGAAGGGATGGGAATGGGAATGCAGGAGAAGGAAGATTCATCATCATTCTAGTGTTTCCCCTGGTGCCCTCCCCTCCTCATCCTCCGCCTCTTTCGGCTCTCCATCCTACTCCTCCTTCTCCTCCCCATTGTCCTCCTGCTCCTTATCCTGCTCCTCCTCCTCCTCCTCCCTGTCCTCCTCCTTCTCCTCCCCTCAAACCCTCTACTTCCTTCCTCTCCCCTTCTCCTCAAACCCGTGGCCTTCTTCTCGGCGTGCAACACCTTGAAGCACGACGAGATGCCCTGCCCGCTGGGCACGGGCGGCGGGGGCTTCTTGCCAGGAGCCATTCCACAGGCCGCCGCTCCGCCGCTCGTCACTGGGCGCCGCCGGGCGCCCGAAGCCAAAATGGCTGTGGACGGGTGGAGGGAGGAGCGGAGGAGGAGGGGCCCGCGCCCGCGCCCAGGACCCCTTTGACCAAATCAAACCAAGTGACCTGGGGCCAAGAGCGGAGACGGTGACCAGGGACCCCGAACATATTGGATGCAGCGAAGCCCTTGCCCACAAACCAGGCATGAACAGCTGAGCAAGGCCCCTCCCCCCTGCCCACTAACCAGGCATGAAACCTAGACGACGTATCAGCGCGAGCCAGGCCGCTGGAGGCAAAACGAGATCCCCCCACGTGCTGATCCTGGCTGATCCCCACACACCCCTGCCTCCACCTCGCGCCGTCCAATTCGACGCCGTCCTGATTCCTGTCGTTCCTCTTCAGCTCCTCACTCTTAGCTACCCCCTTCATCCATTCGTAGTCCTCCCTGAGGCCACCCCTGTGCGCCCGATCGGTTTATCCACCCGTCCTCCTTCTCCTGACCTCCTACTCGTCATCCTTCTCGAGGTCCCTCAACCTCCTGATGACCCTCCTCTTGCTGCTGCTCCTCCATCTCCTCCATCTGCTCCTCCTCCACCCTTCCTCCTCCCCCTGGTGCTCCCCCTCCAACGGCGCCTGCCGGCCGGGGCCGGCCTTCCCGTAGTGCAGGTGGCACTTCTTCGTCCCCATCGACGAGTGGAGCAAGTTGGCAGCCGGGCGCAGGTCGTCCTGGCTGGGGAGAGGATGGGGGGCGGAAAGAAGGGCGGCCAGGATGAGGTGGATGAACCAATACACAGACACGTACGCGATGCATTGCAGACAGAAGCCGCGGCGATTATAGGAGGGCCAGGAAAAGAGAAGGATGGGGCAAGGGCGAGGAGGGAGGTGGAGAAGGAGGGTGAAAAGAGGGGGAGACGGAGGAGGGCAGGATGCGGAGGAGGCCACGAATATTCTGGATACCGCAACAAACAGTCAGCAGGACCAAACGATCAACAGGAGGCTATACAGGAGCGTCAGCAAGACAAGGCGCTTTGCATGGCAAGCGTCATTACGCGGGAAGCAGCTGAAGAAAACACAAGAAGAACGCTGTCCGAGATGTCGTACACGTTCACAGCGCACCACGGCCACTGCGCCTCCAGCGCCGCCCTCTCAGGGGCGCCGATGCCTCCCCTGCCCGAGGTCGCGCGCGCACTGAGAGCCCACCTCGCTCTGACTCTGACTCTGCATTTTCAAAATCCACGGGTTCATTCCAGGATATCCGATCGAAACCGGGCCCGTTGGGCCCCCCCCAGGACAACGGATCGGGCCCTGAAAACAAAAGAAAAGCTGGATCATCACTACATTGTGAATCCGCCCGCCTCTGCATCGATACATGTGCGACGAACGCAGACAAGGGGCTACCAATGATGCATATATCGAGAGGTTGCTCGCGATTGAAAGCTGGGCTGCCTGTCTCCAAAGACCAGAATGCGTCGAGTAGAAGTGCGATTCCCACGAAAGCTTGCAACCTACGAACACAGCACCCCCCCCGTCCAACCAGCACACAACAGCGTCACGCGCATGGGCGTGAGCGGGCGCCCGAAGTCGGGGTACACGGAGCGAGCAACCCAGGGGGCGTCCTTGCGGACGCAACAGTCTGGAAGAAGAACGGCGTCGGGCCCTCGGGCCAAGGGCATGGCGGCACGCGGCCGTGGGCTGGCGGCGCCCACGGCCCAAAAGGGGCCCGCCCAGCGGTGGAGGGGGCGGGCCAGACGCCCCTCAGCCACAAGGGCTGCAGGCGTTCAAGAGGCCTCAACAGGCCAGCAACGCCAGGCCCATCCACGACGACCCCCTTCCAATGCGCTCGTGGGAACGCGCTCTTTCGAAGAAGCCCTGAAAGAAATCCACCCCTGCTGAGACATATCTCCAGGAGTGCACTCGACGTCCCAAGATCAATGCGAAACAACCTGGCAAAGACCAGGAACACCAAACGGAAGATGAGAAACAGAGAGAGAGAGAGAGAGAGAGAGAGAGAGAGAGAGAGATAGAGGAGAGAGGCGCGACGATAAAAGAGCGAGGGGGAGGAGAAAGAGAGATGGGAGAGAGGGGGCGCGCACCAGGTGGGGAGGAGAAAGAGAGAGGGAAGAGAGAGGGAAGAGAGAGAGAGGGGATATGTCGAGAGAGAGAGAGAGAGAAGGATAGCAGGTGGCTTCACTGACTGTTCCTCGACCCTTCCTCGATCCTCACTCCTCGACGCGCTGCTCATAGACCGTCCGAGTCTTCTTCAGGTGCCGCAAGTGCCCTCGCGCCTGAACCTGTGATTGCCAACGCCTGAAACCGCAAGAAGGACTCAACTTGAAATCCCCAAATCCTCGCCCTCACAGCGCCTCGGTCCCGAACCCAACCCAGATCCCCCCGGACAACCCCCGACCACACCCCCGACCAACCCACCCACCGACCACCCCGACCCACCCCCCGACCACCCCCGGCAACCCCCCGACCACCCCCCGACCACCCAACGACACCCCCCGGACCACCCCCGACCACCCCCTCCGACCACCCCCCGATCCACCCACGACACCCCAACGACCACCCCCCCGAACAAACCCACGAGCCACACCCCGAACCACCCCCGACACCCCCCCCGCACCACCCCCCGACCAACCACGACCACCCCCGACACCCCCCGACCACCCCCCGACCATCCTCGACCACCACTCGACTACGCCAGACCACGCCCCACCAATATTGCCAGGCACCATCCGCAGACATGGCGACGCCGAGGTCGACGACGTGCCCGATCAGGGAAGAATGTAGAGCGAACGAAGCGATGGAGACA